AGACTAAGTGGAACAATCATTCAGCAACATTCTGATCAAATAAGATGCTTGAATATTCAGCATTTGGAATTAGACTCCGCCCATTTCAATCTAACTATTCCATCTTTGATAAGGACATATGGAACAGATTAGCATACTGAAAAATGGCATCTTTATGCCGCACTGAATTTGCAACAAACTTTTTACAAAGTCGTTAATATTATGGGGGCGGAACTGAGTTGGTGACAAATGATGTGGCTATGACAAGCGTGGCCGGGGGATCGATTCTCTGACCGGAACCATGTCGAGCCTTTGCTCGGCCTGAAGCCGACCAGATGAACCCGGATTTGTCTAGAAATCCTTACATATTGACTTGGGCATGGATGGTTCTCCTCTCAAGTCTCTAGGAGCTATGGGAAGAACAAAATTTTCAGTCAAATTCCAGCCCGATCCTGACGGAAAACTGAATGCGCTTTACAGCCTGGAATGGATTGGTTTTTAGCCATTGTATTTCTATTCCTCTTGCAAGCCCAATGCTGTTTTTCACCTTTGAATTTCCAATACTGGTCCACCATGTTCCCATTAGTCTTTTGTCCCTCAATTACGTCTCTTGCAGCTTTCGTTTCATTCCGTTCCACTTCGTTCGCTTTTCTGTAACAGTGTAATAAACCAATTGAAAACTTACACGAATTGAAAAGGTGATAATAAATAAAAAACCGATGCGATAGTTCAAAACGATGCGTGACGGCTGTATCACTTTTTCAGTTATTTCCAGTAGTTTTGTGTAATTTGCGGTTCCGAATGATTTAATTTATAGGAATATTTTCACATGATAAATTTTAGCCCATTAAAACTTCGAACATTAGTGGGATGAAATAAAAGGCACGAGGAATGACTGTACTCGTATGGCCCTATGGCCCTTCCTACCCCTTCACAAGTGCCCCGATAATTTTCATGAAACCACACTGGAACCGCGGTTTTTTGTTGTCGATCAACACAAGTGTTTAAGATGAAACGCACAAGGTGAAACGTAAGGCTTCGGCAAGGTGAAGCTGTCGAGAAAAAAGATGACCAACGAAAACGAACCGGTCCACATCGTTGGTCGCTATAAATACGTTTCAACCGAAACCGTTACCTATGGCTGCCATGGACTACGACTCGAAGATCACGGTAAGTTCCTCTGATTCGAGTTAATGAAGTACTTTGTTAAACCTTTCTAGGTCTATTTCAGGCCTACCGCTTCGTCGGCTATGCCGCGATGACGTTCTCGGCAATCGCCGTGCTCTCCGTCTGTATCACCTTGCCCATGGTCTACAACTACATTCATCACGTCCGTTCCAGCGTCCATTATGAGCTTCTGGAATGTCGTGTGAAGGCGAACAATCTTCTTAGGAGCGTTAATGGCCTTCCTGACCTTCCGCGCAATCGAACAGCTCGTCAGACGACCGAACAGCAACAAAATGATCCCAACTATTGCAGCGGATGCTGTATCCCAGGAGCACAGGGACCTCCGGGCCCACCTGGTGCACCAGGTAAACCAGGAAAGTCCGGAGCTCCGGGAGCACCTGGAAACCCTGGACGTCCACCACAGGAGCCATGTGAACCAATAACTCCACCACCATGCGAACCGTGCCCAGCCGGTCCACCTGGACCACCGGGACCACCTGGACCAATGGGAAATCCTGGACCAGTTGGACCTCCAGGCGAAAAAGGCCCCGACGGTGAGCAAGGACCACAAGGAATGAAAGGAATGCAAGGTCCTCCCGGTCAAGTGGGTAACCCAGGAGCAATGGGTGAGCCCGGCGAGAATGGCGCAAATGGCGAACCACAGCCTGGATCACGTGGTGAAACTGGACCCCCTGGAGCACCAGGACCAATGGGGCCAATGGGTCCACCTGGCAAAGACGGTTCAAATGGTCCAGATGGCGAGAGAGGTCCGGATGGCATACCGGGAAATCCGGGAAAAGATGGCGAAGATGGACAACCTGGTCCACCTGGAATGGATGGAAGGCCAGGAGAAAGGGGTATCTGTCCCAAATATTGTTCGGCCGACGGCGGTGTTTTCTTCGAAGATGGAACTCGACGTTAAAAGATGGCACGTTGTTTTGGAAAATAAAAATTCGTTTTCAAAATTGTAAACAGACTAAAAAGAAGTTGTAGAGAGACTCGTGAAATATTTGAGAAACTCTTTGAAAAAATATCAGGCATATCGGGTACAATTGAGATGAGGCCTCATCCTGGCCTGAAGCCGGTAGTCCATAAACCGGTCAGCAACATCTAATACGAAAGAATCCGGCTTCTTGATGTGGGGAAGAAGCAAATGGGTAGCTCCCCACATTAGAGTTGTTAATGATAAGTAACCCAAAACCCTTCCCTTTGAGAACTCTTCTCCCCTGCTCATAACCTATTGCTTCTTACTACTTCGAACTATGTGATTTTAGCCAATGGAAGTCGAAGTGGCATATTTAAAACGCGAGAAAACAAGGAAAAAAAAGAAAAAAACATCCAAAAATTACAAAAAAAAGCGAAAAAGAAATAGTGAGAGGCGAGCAAGATAACAAGTTGCGTTTGTGTGGTTACAGAATAGGAACAAAAACCGGTTTCCAGTCAAGACTAACAACAATGCGCATAATTACAAGTGTCTGTCCAAGGTATATATGGTGGTAAATAACGATAATCAGGTGTATCAGCGCGTGATTAAAAGTATTATTACTGTTAATCATAAAAATTTTGAAAAGAAAATGCAAAAAACAAGAGTAAAGTCTGATTTGCAAGAATTGAAGGCAGAAACATTACAAACGCAGAAATCAACATTATTTCCTCATTTATTTGTTTATTTAATTATATTGTGGTCGGTGACGTACTGAAAAAAGTGTTCAAACACAATAAAGTTCCACTTTGAAGACGCACTCATGGAAAATACCGCCCAGGAACGAATCGCGGCTCTTGGCCCGCTGCCAAATCTGATAAGCGCGGTTGGAGCGCGCTTGCGTCACGTATTTCTTTATGAACACTTCGTACAAAACATCTATCCAGATTTATTAGGGAATGTCTTGCTGTCAAGGAAAGAATCGTCTTGTTCGGGCATTTCTTTCCCAACACTTACGTTTAGCTCTTTATTCTTTCCGGCGCCATAAATATTGGAGTAATGGCTTGATAGTGATGAGATGGTACTTCAGCCGTTACACAAGGTGAGACCTCGAAAGCATTTCGTCACGGCTTTTTAGTTGAATAGGTGTGACGGGGTTTGAGAACGATCTCTTCACATCTCATTATGCAAAAGCGGGTGTATCATACGCATTTGATGATTCCGTACGACTTTTCTTCATTTCCGGACACACTGGCCCCCAATTTCGCAGACATTTCTTACAGGACATCCCGCTATCTTGAAACAGGCGTTTGGGCAATGTTCTGTCCTTGTAGGCAGAATATGTGCTTGCAAACACAAGGGCACAAGGACAGAAATCTTTCCAAGATTCCTAACCAGGAAGTACCTGTGAGGTTCAGAGGGTTTTAGGGGAGGAGGAGGCATAGGCGCTATTGGGCCGACCGGATCGAAGAGCGGTTGTTGGATCGGGAGCCATGAAGGCTTATATACCGAGTAGGTGAATATACACATATATCTCATGTCGACAGCATTCCAGA